CGATACCCAATGGCATCTCTTTTAGACTTTCTGTATCTCTAATGTCAAGAAACTGTAAGCTGACCAATTTTGTGATACCTGAAGGCAACATAGAAAGCTTTCGACAACCTCTCAATATCAAAGCTTGTAATTTGCACAAGGTGCTAATTGACTCGGGTAGCCATTTGATATCAGTGTACGAGAAATTGAGATATCGAAGATGTTTTAAATCACCGACACAATGCGGTACCTCTGTGATGTAACAATGACATAACGAGAACACCCTCAAGTACTTTAAGTTTGTTAGCAAGTCATGTAGCACCTTGCTGGAAATAGAGAAAGAGCCCCCACTATATCCAACACGTACTAGAATTAAACTTCTTAGTACCTTCATTCCGTGATATGCTCCCAGGCATTTTGATGTAACATGCCATGTTGTCATGAATGATGCATAACGAGCTTTCTCTAGAGATGCATCGTCTTCATTACCTGCCAGCTGAGAGTCCCCTGATCTATAGCATGTCCCACCCGCAATTGACTTTGCTAGATCATTCAGAAGATCATGCATTGAAAACTTAGATGCATCGACCCTTGATTGTTGAAGAAATGATCTCGATACTAACTCATCGAAGTGATCTTGTCCCAGTCTCAAGATATCCTCATTTGCCTTTTGTCCATCTAAAAAGCCCTCTGCTATCCATAAGAGTACCAACTCATCCCTCTCAATTTCATAATCCTTGGGAAATACCGCACAATAAGCAAAACATCTCTTCAAATAAGAAGGAAGATGGACATAGCTCAATTTCAAAACTGGGAGTACCTCATCTTTTTTTCCCTTTGGAAGATCCCATATTCTGTTATTTAAGATAGCTTCCCATTTATCCGGATTCCTTTCGTTACATAGGACACCGCCCAACATCTTCGCTACCAAAGGTAAGCCTTTACATTTTTTAGCTAATTCCTTGCCTATTCTTTCAAGATCTGGGTGGCTTTCAAAATTTGTTGCTCCAAGAGCATGAAAGGCTAATAAGCTTGTACAATTATCAAGGGACAGCTGCTCCAAATGATACGGTGAAGCTCCTCTTATGGAAACAACGGGAAGGTTGCGAGTCGTGACAATGATCTTGCTTCCCTTGGCCCCCGCTTCAAATGGCTTTAAGAAGTCAGTCCATTTTCCGTAGTTCTCATTCCATACATCGTCTAAAACCACAAGAAACTTCTTCCCGGATAAACTGTCCTTCAACTTAACTTGAAGCCCGTTAAGATCTTCGCCCTCGCAGGACAACCCGGTTATCGGCCGCAAAATAGTCTTTGTTATGTCAAAAACATCAAAAACATCCGACACACAAACCCATGCTCTCGTCTCGAAATAACTTTTCACTCTAGCATCATTATACAGCCATTGAGCTAATGCCGTCTTTCCAACACCACCCATCCCAACTATGGGGACTATGCTCAGCGTGGCATCAGAATTTTCGACCTCACTGACCAATCGTTCGAGTATCTGTGCTTCTTCCTTCTCCCTGCCAAAAAACTGAGTCTCCGCCAGAGAAGTGCTAGGGAGCCTTTGGTTGGCGTAGTCAGATTTGCCCACAACATTCTCTCTCAAGCTTAAACGATCCTTCCTGATGACAATCTCTTCCAACCTGCCATTGATCTCCTGGACCTCGGTTTCAGACACGAGCAAGCACGGGTTTAGATTCGATCTGGAGGATTTATCTTGGCCAAAGCAAGAGAACTTCCAATTTATCCGACCTCTGCTTGTGCTGGATTTTGCCCCCGACTTAACCTGAGTGGCTTGGAGCGCGAGCACATCGAGCAAGTCTTCCATGTCATAGGCCAAGTCCCTAACATCGTCCAACCACTGCTTCACTAGACAATTACTGCTCAGTTGCCTGTCCTCTGCATCATCCAGCACTGCATTGATTGTATCTAGCGTCTTCCTCCAATTATTGAGCAGGTCGGTGCTGATTCCAGAGAAGGGCGGTGCTCCTTCCCTTTGCGCATTGCTCAATCCCAAAGAAGCTAATTTGTCGAATAGGACTTGAAAGAAGGAAGCCAAGACGGAACCCAAAACAATCTCTACAATGGCCATGGGTGAATCAGTCACTGTAGACAACAACAAAGGTTATGGTGAATCAAAGCGATAATGACCTAATAGAGAGAAAACTATGAAGTCGAGGTAGACCAAGACTTTCACCTACCAAAGAGAGGAAACGAAGATCAAGACTTTCGAGGATGCTTTCTATCCACAAGTGCTTGTTTCGTAATATTTAGAGATTATCCCAGATATTCTTAGTTTCCACAATCATATATCTGCTCATGTAAATAAACCATAAACTCAAGAAAATCAAGACCTTACTGGGTATGATGAACTTTTTTGTCGTGAAAGTGAAGCAAAATTGACAAAGAGCTGATGGGAAAGAAACTTTAATAAAATCCAGGAAGACAAGACTTATGGAGACTGATTATTATCTGACAATTAGCATTGATTATTGTTCTCTTGCTCAAAATCAACTAATTTTTGTCCAACTTTTGTCATTTTTAACCATGTTGTGATTTTTCATTCATTAATCTCTATTGTACTTGTCTGTCGGAATTATGTCTAGATTTTCATTGATCTTTCGAAATTTAAGTTTAATAAATGAAAAAAGAGCAAAAAGATAAACTAAAAAAGATAAACAGCAAAAAAATGATAAAGAAAAAAAATGCAGGAATGGGGCGATAATACTTCGTGACTTGCGGAGAGTTCCACATCACATTTTTGTTTTGTTTTCTTTAAATGAAGATGCAATCTAAAGTTGTTAACATGCATAAAGATTGTCCCAGATTTTCCAATTTATAACATTTGATTTATGAAAGGAAACGTGCAAATATGACAATTAATAATAATCCACTCCAAATGGCCTAGATGTGCATGATAATGCTTGTCCACGAAAATTCTAATTTTTCTAATATAATTGTCCTGATACGAATATAATGCAATTCTATCTTAATATGTAATGAAAATCATAAATTAGAGGTCAATTTTGGCTCGAACAAGTACGCGTGTAGATGTATCACCTCATTAAAACAACTAGGCCAAATTAAGATCAACAAATCACCATGAATTATGCAATCAAGCCACAACTTTAATCTGGCCAGCAAGTACTTGACATCAACCTCCCTTGCTGCATCAGTTTTGAGGGAAAAAGGGAGCAAGTAGATAGATGTCTCTTACCTATTTCGAGTAGATTTCCTGGAGTTGACCGGAAAACGGGTTTAGATCAACGAGTAGGCAGCTTGTTGTGACGACTCACGACGCCACTTAGCGATGATCACGGCAAGGCAGTGGTGGGAACGCAGCAATGAGGTGAGGACTCCGGCTTGACCACGGCAGCACGTGAACTGTGATGGGCGATGGGCCTATCTCGGGCTGAATAACGGCTCTATCATGCCCAATTTGAATGACAAAATATGACTAGCGATCTGGACAAATCAACAACAGCAATCCAGCAAGCACGAGCGCTAAGTTCGGATGAACAGGAGGAGAATACTATTGAGCAGGGGGACAAGCACTGGATTCGGCGGTTCACAGTCTATGCGTGTGAATTCAGCTACGGCAATGCGTGGCCACCGCTTGCAACGACGAATAATAATATCAATGGAGCTACGACTAGAATAGCAGATCAAAGATGTTGGTGATTGGCGACAATCAACGTGCATGCAAGACGGGAATTGAATGAAAGTGGAGTCTCTAGGTGTGAGTTTGATAATGATGATGGTGGTGGTGGTGGTTGAAAACAATTATTGGATCACGTTCCAGTGACCAAAGATCGGTCCCTTCAATGCTAAAACAAAATGATTGAATTGGTAGGACCTTGCCTTAGACTTTTTTGTCACCATGTCCCATCAAGCATAGCATTAAGGACTTGACCCCTCCGAGGACGATGACCCCCCATCCGCCAATTGTTAAAGGCCTAAAAGCTACACACGATTGATAAAATCATATCTTGTTGCTTGATTCAAATAAAAATATTCGCCCGTTTTCCATTCCAAAAGAAGAGCCCTTAAGACTCGTATGGTGCTACGAATTGTTATCATAAAATTAGCCCATACAATTTCGGATACTTTTATCAATCATGTTTTAAATATCGAAAGTTATAAAAATCAACAAGAGTGGAGAATCTAAATATAATTGTCTTGATACGAATATAATGCAATTCTATCCTAATATGTAATGAAAAATCATAAATTAGAGGACAATTTTGGCTCGAACAAAGAGAAAAAAGAAAAACTAAAAAATATAAACAGCAAAAAACTGATAAAGAAAAAAAATGCAGGAATGGGGCGATAATACTTCGTGACTTGCGGAGAGTTCCACATCACATTTTTGTTTTGTTTTCTTTAAATGAAGATGCAATCTAAAGTTGTTAACATGCATAAAGATTGTCCCAGATTTTCCAATTTATAACATTTGATTTATGAAAGGAAACGTGCAAATATGACAATTAATAATAATCCACTCCAAATGGCCTAGATGTGCATGATAATGCTTGTCCACGAAAATTCTAATTTTTCTAATATAATTGTCCTGATATGAATATAATGCAATTCTATCCTAATATATAATGAAAAATCATAAAATAGAGGTCAGTTTTGGCTCAAACAAGTAGCGTGCAGATGTATCACCTCATCAAAACAACTAGGCCAAATTAAGATCAACAAATCACCATGATCAAGCCATGCAACTTTAATCTAGACAGCAAGTATTTGACATCAACTTCCCCAAAAATTTTGTTATTAAACTTGCAATCGGGATTATAGATAGACATGAAATCGGTTTAAGAACCAAAATTTTGTTGCTGCTGTTGCCTCTTCTTTTGCTCAAAAGATTGCTTTTCCCTCCATTAATTGAAAGATTTCAGAAACGATGGGTGGTTGCTCTCGTGTAATGAATTTCTACCAGATGCTTTAGTGAGCGAAGTTCTGGCTGCATCGGTTTGAGGGGAAAAGAGAACAAGTAGATAGATGTCTCTTACCTATTCCGAGTAGACTTCCTGGAGGAGACCGTTGAACAGGATTAATTCAACGAGAGCAATCCAACAAGCACGAGCGCTAGGTTCAGATGAGCAGCAAGAGAACACTGTTGAGCAGGGGGACAAGCATATGGTGAAGCCAAGTGATAATGAGATAATGGAGAGAGAAAACTATAAAGTCCAGGAAGACCAAGACTTTTCACCTACCAAGACATGAAATGAAGACCAAGACTTTCGAGAATGCTTTCTATCCACAAGTGCCTGTTTTGTAATATTAAGAAATTATCCCAGATATTTGTGGTTTCCACGATCATATATATTTCTTCATGTAAATATACCATAAACTCAGGAAGACCAAGACTTTACTAGACATCATGTACTTTTTGGTCTAGAAGGTGAATCAAAAGTGAAAAGGAGCAAATGGGAAGGAAAGTTCAATAAAATCCGGGAAAACCGAGACTTTGCAAGACGCATATTGGCTTTAGTGCTTCACTTTTTAAAATGTAGGTATGGGACGATAATACCCTTCGTGACTTGCGGAGAGTTCCACTATACATCTTTTCTTTGTTTTTTTTTTTAATGAAGATGCAATCTTAAATTACTAACATGCAAGATATGATTTTCCTACATTTTCCAATTTATAACATGTGATTAATATAAGGAAACGTGCAAATAAATGAAATCCTATCCTAATATGTAATGAAAAATCTTCAATATGCCCAAATATGAAAATATGAACACATATAAAATTGTGAATATAACTTTCCCCAAAAATGTAAATGGTTAATATGCAATGTCCTAAATGTACAACACCTAATAAATCTACATGTGGCTTTATTAAGCATGCCCCCTAATATACAAATCTTGAATGCAACGAATGTGTAGGCGATGTAAACATGAAAATTACATGTGAAGATGTGATCAAGAGTGACCTAGCGATATGCAATTTCATGAACACCGACGGCAAAAATATTCGACAAATCACCACGAATTATGCAATCAAGCCATGCAACTTTAAAATGGACAGCAAGTATTTGAACATCAACTTCCCCAAAAATTTTGTTATTAAACTTGCAATCGGGATTATAGATAGACATGAAATCGGTTTAAGAACCAAATTTTGTTGCTGCTGTTGCCTCTTCTTTTGCTCAAAAGATTGCTTTTCCCTCCATTAATTGAAAGATTTCAGAAACGATGGGCGGTTGCTCTCGTGTAATGAATGTCTACCAGATGCTTTAGTGAGCGAAGTTCTGGCTGCATCGGTTTGAGGGGAAAAGAGAGCAAGTAGATGGATGTCTCTTACCTATTCCGAGTAGACTTCCTGGAGGAGACTGTTGAACGGGATTAGATCAACGAGAGCAATCCAACAAGCACGAGCGCTAGGTTCGAATGAGCAGGAAGAGAGCACTGTTGAGCAGGGGGACGAGCATATGGTGAAGCCAAGTGATAATGAGATAATGGAGAGAGAAAACTACCAAAGAGATGAAAGGAAGACCAAGACTTTCGAGAAAGCTTTCTGTCCACAAGTGCTTGTTTTGTACTATTTAGAGATTATCCCAGATATTTGTTGTTTCCACGATCATATATTCTGTTCATGTAAATATACCAGAAACTCAGGAAGACCAAGACTTTACTAGACATCGTGTACTTTTTGGTCTAGAAAGTGAAGTAAAAGTGAAAAGGAGCAAATGGGAAGGAAAGTTCAATAAAATCCAGGAAGACCAAGACTTTGCAATACGCAAATTGGCTTTGGTGCTTCACTTCTCAAGAAGAAAAACCAAAATAGAAAAACAGACAAAAAACTTATAAAGAAAATAAAATGCAGGAATGGGACGATAATACTCTTCGTGGCTTGCGGAGAGTTCCACTATACATATTTTCTTTGTTTTTTTTTTAAAGATGCAATCTAAAATTACTAACATGCAAGATATGATTTTTCCTACATTTTCCAATTTATAACATGTGATTTACAAAAGGAAACGTGAAAATAAAAGAAAATCTATCCTGATATGTAATTAAAAATCTTCAATAAACCCAATTATACAATATGAACACACTTAAAATTGTGAATATAACTTTCCCCAAAAATGTAAATGGTTAATATGCCATTTCCTAAATGTACAACACCTAATGAATCTACATGAGGTTATATTAAACATGCCCCCTAATATACAAATCTAGAATGCAACGAATGTATAGGCAATGTAAACATGGAATGACACGTGAAGATGTGATTGAGAGTGACCTAGTGATATGCAATTTCATGAACACCGATGGCAAAAATATTCAACAAATCACCATGAATTATGCAATCAAGCCATGCAACTTTAATCTGGACAGAAAGTATTTGAACATCAACTTCCCCCAAAATTTTGTTATTAACCTTGCAATCGGGATTATAGATAGGCATGAAATCGGTTTAAGAACCAAAATAGATGTCTCTTACCTATTCCGTGTAGACTTCCTGGAGCAGGCCGGTGAATGGGATTAGATCAACAACAGCAATCCAGCAAGCACGAGCGCTAGGTTCAGACGAGCAGGAAAAGAACACTGTTGAGCAGAGGGATGAGCACCAGGTTGGGCGGTTCACAGTGTATGCGTGTGAATTCAACCACGGCAATGCGTGGCCGCCGCTTGCAACGACGAACGACAATACTGATGGAGCTACGACTAGAACAGGTTTGTGGGGGATTGGGCAGATCAGAGATGGTGGTGATTGGCGACAATCAACATGCATGCGAGAAGTGAATTGAATGAAAGTGGAGTCTGTGGGCGTGAGTTTGAAGCTGATGATGGTGGTTGAGGAAAAAGTGAGGCGGTGTGGCTTTAAGGTGGGTATTTTTTCTCAGAGGTTCCCATTTTATCTTTTCTTTTCTTTTTTTCTTTGGGGAATAAATTCGAAGGAACCTAATCCTATTTGTTAAAATTCTGGTATATGCTTATAAAATGCTTTAATTGCAAGAATTTTTTTTTTTAGGAAAACCGGTTCCATTTTTTCAAATATATATGAAATCGACTTTGGGCAAAATTTAGGTATCAACAAGTTTTATCTATCAAATGGTTATTTCTGAGCTATTTACACTTATTTTGGTAACTCGAGATTTCTTAATTTTAGGTGATGTAGGATGGTCAGATGATCCTGGCTGTAACCGTCTGCTTATTGCCCACGTTTCGCCTCTCTTTGCAAAGTAACGCCAGTGCAGATTCGGACACTGGGATCTATATCTGACTTCTAATCCTATTCGGATTTTCCATTACGTTTCTCTTTCGGATCGAATTGAGCCAAATCCTCTTGTTGTTCTCTATCAAAGTAGTTTAAGTAGTTAAAGTTTTTACTTCCTTGCATTTTACATGGTAAAGAGTAGAAACCCGTATCAGCTCGACTTAAGAGTCACGGAGAGATTTTTTAAGGGTCCAACCAAATTTCCTGATTTAATAGATTCGATAGTTTTTGACATTCACGCTTGGCATAACTTTAGTTTACCCAAGGATGTGAGGAATCATGGAGGCTATGTATATGCTAAAACAGTTATTGGATCATGTTCACCAATAGTGACCAAAGATCGGTCCCACACATGCTAAAACAAAATGATGGAACTGGGAGCACTGCTTTAGCCTTTTTTGTCACCATGTCCAATCAAGCATAGCATTAAGGACTTTTCGTCCGCCAATTATTAAAGGCTGCAAAGTTACACAAGATTAATACAACCATATCTTTTACTGGATTCAAATGAAAATGTTCACCGTTCTTCACTCGAAAAAAAGAGCAAATTAGACTCCTAAACTACTACTGATTGTTATCATAGAATTAGCCCATACAATTTTGAATACTTTTATCAATCATGTTTTAGGTATCGTAAGTTATAAGAATCAACAACAGTCGAGAATCTAACTATATATGAGCGGAACACGTGATGTGTGTGGACATGAAACGACTCGAGAGGTTTGAGAGAGAGAGAGAGAGCCATCATATTACTTCAAGTTGGAGTCTTGCATGTCTTGCACAATCTTGCTTTCTTATAAGAAAATTCATTTTTCCTTATTGAATGGGGATGTCTTTCACGATGATCTTGCTTAAAGCAAAGATTTCTTGCACAATCTTGCTTTCTTAAAGCAAAATTCAATTCCTTCTTTTGAATGGGGAGACCAAACCAATTAGATGTGGAAATTTATCTTCACAGTGGATCGGGATTAACTACGATTCTAGAGTTTAGAAAACAATTTAACCTACTTAATCTGAGTGAGCGCACTAAGTATTATGCCTTTCCTCTATTATTACTTGGAGCGAATCGTATTATGTCTCGTAGTATATGCTAATTATAGTGATTCCAGAGAGTTCACAATCATAAACTATCGAAAGCTTGTAGACAAACAATTCGAGGCTTGAATTTAGACCGTAAAATGAATTTGAAGCTGGACATCTATATCCGAAGGCTCAAAATTATGTCAAACTCCATCATGACAGGGTACATGTGGCAGAGTATTCTGCAACTAGCCATCTCGTACCAACATGTCTCCCCGGCAGCTCCTTGACCATCGTGGGCCAAAATCGCATCAAAGGATCGCCACTATGTCAGTGTTTTTGAAACCTAAATTATCAAAGACACAGTTAACAATGGCATCTTATTTTCTATTATACATCTACAAGTCACAAAGGACGGCAAGTTTGTCTGTTTGATAATGAAAACAAAATCAAGTGCTTTGGCTAAAAGAAAAGGTCCTCTATTTCAAACGACATCCAAAAGTCTTGATCTGAAGAAAAAGGAGAACAATCTCACTTGAGGACATAGTGTGCATCAAAACATACGCTCTTCGGTCTGACTCAAACTTCTTGGCGTATTAGGAAGACCAAGACTTTACTGTAACTCATCAACTTTCTTGTGTAGAAAGTGAGGCAAAAGGGAAAAAGTGATATTATTAAATCCAGGAAGACCGAGATTTTGCAGGACTCAAATTGGCTTCATTGCTTCACTTTTCACATCCCTCTTCTTCCATCCCTATGTGAATGTCTCTTTTTCCATTACTAGTAGAACTTTCACTCATTACAGGTCTTGCTTAAAATTAACAATACTAGAAACAAGTATAAGAAGAAAGCCAAGAAGGAACGGAAAAGATCTCTCCAATGGCCATGGGTGAATCAGTCACCATAGAGAACAACAAGGGTTATGGTGAAGCTAACTAGCTAAGTGATAATGAGGTAACGGAGAGAGAAAACTATAGAAGTCCCCGAAGACCAAGACTTTCACCTACGAAAATATTAAACAAAGACCAAGACTTTAAAATATGCTCATCAATGGCTAGAGAAATCATTTTAAAATACTTTTTGTCCACAAGTACTTGTTTCCTAATATTTAGAGAATATTTCCAGAGACATTATTGGATGTCATGTGCTCTTTTGTCTGGAAAGTGAAGCAAAAGTGGAGAATTTCTACGCGTGACATGTGAAGCAAAAGCGAAGCACTTTAAGAAAAAGTACCAACTGGAAAGAAACTTTAATCAATTCCAGGAAGACCAAGACTTTGTAAAACGCAAATTGGCTTTGTTGCTTCACTTTTCACATCCCACTATCATCCATAATGTGAATGTCTCTTTGTTGCGCACCATAATTTGGGCTAACTTTGCATGTTCAAAGGAGCACAATTCTCCTAACAAGCGATTCATGATCATCAACTACTTCAGCACCCTTCAGCTAATCATTGTAGCCCATCTTGATGCGAATTTTTAGCACTATAGCTGCCACGTAAAAGCCTATAACTGCAAAAAAAAAAGAGGCTAACAAAACACTTGTAAGCAGTAACTTTTTTACAAAGATATGCATGCACTCTAAGTTGGTCATATGAAGAAAAATCACCTTTAATCCTCTGTTTTGGATGGCCACAAGAAAAAAGAAAAGGTCCTTTCTTTCAAACGAGAGCCAAAATTCTTGATCCGGAGAAAAAGGGGAACAATTGATTTATCTAACTCAAGAACATAATGTGCATCAAAACATATGCTCTTCGGTCTTACTCAAACGGATTGTCGTAATAATACACTCAAATAAAATACTTCTCATCAGGAAGACCCAAACTTTATTGGATATCATGTACCTTTTTTTATCTAGAAAGTGAAGCAAAAGTGAAAGACCAAATGCAAAAAAAAACTGTAGTAAAATCCAGGAAGACCAAGATTTTCCAAGACACAAATTGGCTTCATTGCTTCACTTTTAACATCCGTTCTCTTCCATCCCTATGTGAATGTCTCTTTTCCGTTACTAGTAGAATTTCCACGAGTTGCATGTCTTGCTTAAAATTAACAATTTTATAAATTAGTATAAGAAGAAAGCCAAGAAGGAACGGAAAATATCTCTCCAATGGCCATGGGGTGATGGGTTATGGTGAAGCAAAGTGATAATGAGCTAATGGAGAGAGAAAACTATAAAGTCCAGGAAGACCAAAACTTTCACCCACCATAAACATTAAGCTAAGACCAAGATTTTCAAGGATGCTTTCTGTCCACAGGTGCGATGTTCATGTAAATAAACCATTAACTCAGAAAGACCAAGACTTTAGGGGACATCATGTACTTCACAAAAAAACAAAAGAAGAAAAGAAAGAGACGCAAAAGTGAAAAGGAGATGTGCGAAAGAAACTTTAATAAAATTCAGGAAGACCAAGACTTACCAGGACGCGAATTGGCTTTGTTACTTCACCTTTCACATGGGTTCTATTTTTTTTTCTGTTTGAATGAAATATTATTTGACAATTAACATTGATTGTTGTTCTCTTGCTAAAAATCAACTATACAATAATTTTATTTAGATTAGTGTTCTCCTATTTTCTGTATTATTCATTTTTCTATGGTAATTATGGGTAAAAGAGAGATATTTTCTTCAAAGAATGAGATTAAAATATGCTTTTGCACTTTACAAGTCATATGCATTGCACACATGTTAACGGAAAAAAAATATCAAAGGGTTAGTGGCTGTTACAAAATTAAAATTCAGGGGACATTGTGTAATAATTGAAACTGGGGGCAAACGTGCACTATTCCCAAAGTTCAAGGGGATTTGTGTAATTTCATCTTAAACATATAACTAAGCCAAATTTATTTAGATGGAATAATCACTAATCAATATGTAATATTGTCGCTCTTCCATAAGTAAGCACTAGAGGACCATCAGGCTCTACCCCAAAAAACTATTCAATAAAAAAAAAATTCTTGTGGCTCCTCTAGTGGGTATTGTCATTAAACTAAGCACCAAAGTTTGCTAGATGGAATGATACGTAAACCTAATTGGCTCCTCCAGTGGGGCAACGAAATCAATTCCAACTGATTCTATTTTTAGATAGAATTCATGGTCGAGACTCAATTGGAAACAAAACGACTCAAATGATTTCGATTGTATTATGGGAGCCAAAATGTCTTCTTATGTTTCTCTAACCATAATTTCTAAATGCTCCTCTTAAAATATGAATCACGAGTCCTTATTCTATATGCACTTTTTGGGACAAATAATAAACGTTGGTTGATGCCAAGATGGTTAAATATAGACCAATAAAAAAAGCTGAAATGATTGCCAACCGTGGTGAGTTTATCAATCGTTAAATAGAACCGGACACCTTACTATTGACGAAATATAAAAAAGGTTACCCCTTGACACTCGTTAAGTGTTTATATTAATATGTCAACATGACATATGAAGCTGCGATGGAGAAATGGTAGTCTACATGAGAAGTACTAATCTGCCTATCATATAATGTATCAATTAACCGGGACTCTTAAGTTCTCATCAACCAAATGTTTTAATTGCAAATTAAATTTGTCCCATAATATGGCTACGTTTAGCAACCATTTGGCCAAAAGGCCTTTGGGCCTCTAAAGGACTTTGGCCAAAAGTTAAGCCATTCGACAAATATTTTTGAAAAACTTTGGGAAAATGGATTGCATTTTAAAAGTACTCTAAAGTCCCTTAGCCCAAGACAAATTCATAGGAGCTTTGGGCTTTAAGTATTTTTGGAATGTTAATGTATTTTTTTTCTTTCAACTTTGCCCTCACTAAACTTTTGAAATTCCAAAAATACCTCATCACGGCGTTGCTGGCGAGGTTAGATTCAGTGCCAGATCTGAACCACCGGTGAAGGTTTGAGGATTTTTTTTTATAAAGAAAATAGCAAAACTTCCTTTGTAAGTGTAGTTTTTTTTTTCCAAATAGTATATAAACCAAAGTTGTTCCCAATGCGCTTTTAATTTACACTTTACCAAAACACTACTTGCATTTAAGAAAAACCCTCTCACCCAAATTCTTTGCATTTCCTCCAAAGACTTTCCCTGGAAGCCTTACCAAACGCAGCAACCCTTCTAAAGTCTTAGCACACATGAACTCCCAAAACACTCATTTGACTTTCAAAATTGCAGAACCAACCCAGAAAGAAGTTGACCAAGTGGACCCGATAGAACAAACTTTACCGTGGTATTGTGACTAGTAATGGCCACTCGACCTTGTCGGCCCAGGAACTGCACAGCCCGGCCCCTTCAAAGGGTAGTCGTGCATGGCCACTGTGCCAGGTCGGGCTCTGGCCCAGGTGGGCCTAGGCCATCCGCTTAGGCCCAAATAGGCTAGCCCAAAAAACGACCCAATTTGTTTTTATCAAAGGTCACTGCCAGTGATCGTTAAGTCTCCGTTGCTTCAGAAAAAAAATGAATGTGGTTGAATGTGATCATTCGGCCGCACCCAAAAAGAAAAAAAAACTCCTACAAATTCAACTCCTCCTCCTTCATCATCACCTCCATCCGTTTCTCATTACTTATCACTCTCGTATAGCTCCTAATAAAATCTTGACTTCTACTAATACGCAATGGACCCAACTCAGCTGCATTAACCAACTCAATTGCCAGACCCAGACCTTTGGCTACGAAGAGTAGCCTACTCCAACCAATACAAATCACCATGAATTGTGCAATCAAGCCATGCAACTTTAATCTGGACAGAAAGTATTTGAACATCAACTTCCCCCAAAATTTTGTTATTAACCTTGCAATCGGGATTATAGATAGGCATGAAATCGGTTTAAGAACCACAATATTGTTGCTCAAAATATTGCTTTTACCTCCATTAATAGAAAGATTTCAGAAAGAATAAGTGGTTGCTCTCGTGTAATAGAGGCCTATCAGATACTTTAGGTAGCAAAGTTCTGGCTGCATCAGTCACGGTGGCCACCGTTTGGAACTTCAAAAGACAATATCGATGGAGTTACGGCTAGAATCGGTTTGTAGGGGATTGGGCAAATCAAAGAGGGTGGTGTTGAATAATCCACGTCCTACCATTGGCGGTCAAGTACGAAAAATCAAAGTTGGCCTCCGAATCTTAGTCAAGTTTGCTTAATAAAGAAGGAAGAGAAACTGGACCGAGCAAGTCCTTAAAAGCTCAAAGGGTTAACAGCAGGGAGAACCTGCCTGGGGTGGGAGACCCCTGGCTCAACCCCGTAACCCTTCCCTTAGGGTTGAAAAACTTACATATGGGACTTAGGAGGGCCTTAGGTGGTGAAGATAGATATCATGTCAGTTTCGATTGGTTACCACCGAGTAGGGCTTGCATAGTAGCATCCCGCGCTTGGGGTGATAAGGTGGTCTAGCAGGCAACTGCTGCATCTGCCAACCTCATCGCTAACGCGAATCAACCCGCAAGGCGAGACTCGGTACCCCCGGTTGATTCGCGTTAGGCCATGAATCAGGCCCCAACCTGTCACTTTTAGAAAACAAGTTGACAAGTCAACTTGCCTTAGCCAAACCTTTATCTCTTTCAAGAAGCAAGTTGGCCTACTTGCTCCGAGTGAGCGTGCAATTCATATGAATGCCAAGCCTTTCCTCTATTATTACTCGAAGCGAAATGGTGTTATGCCTTGTTAAAACGCAACGTGTATATGCTAATTATTGTTAATCAGGACAAGTCACAATCATGCACTATCGGAAGCTTGTATCCAAATGATTCGCGATTTGAATTTAAACCGTATAATGAATTTGAAGCTGGAAATCTATATCCAAAGGCTCGAAATTATATCAAACTCCATCATTACATGGTAATCGTGGCAGGGGATTCTGCAACTAGTGATATCGTGCCAACATATGTCTCCCTGGCAGCTCCTTGAGCATCGGGAGCCAAAATCGCGTCTAAGGATCACTGCTAAGCGGATGACCTGAGCAACATATACGACCAAGAAGGTCAAAGTTGCAGAAAGGAGTAGAAGAGCTAGAGAAGATGATCTGGTTAGGGCAGAACAATCCAACCAGCTCAAGTGATTTCAAGATCAACACAATGCAGAAGCAGATTCAATCGATCTGATAAGATGTTGAATCTTTATTGCCTTCGTAATATTTTGGTAGAATATGAATGTTGATAGTACGAGCAAAGGCAATCAGAGTCTGTTGTGACCCTCCTAAGCGGGACAAGCGGGCTTAACAACTTATCGAATAGGAACGTGCAATCCCTCTAACCGAGGTGCTCACTCTCCTTTGGCGCGGGCTCTCCCAAATCTTAATTGCTTACAACGTTGAGAAATATACTAAAAGGTAGGCAAGGTGCCAGCTAGAGAACATTCTTCTTCCTACAAGCTAGAGATCCTAAGTTTGGGGATTTGATTACACTAATTACTTATTAGGTGATTTGTGTCGTCTTTATCAAATTATGGATTCTAAGTATTCTCCAATACGTGTCCATACATGCTTGTTTGATTGAGATTGACTCGAAAGTGTAATCTACTCATTAAATGAAGCTAAAGAAATCGAGTCACGATATTGAAATAAAGAAAACAACACAACACATCAAAATGACAATAAAGGACGAATAAAAGCAAAGTGTGAAAAGTAAATTGGATACGAGACGAGCAAAGTATAGGCCGCCTCATTTTTAAGTTTCGGGACATGAACCTGTGAGCTAATTTTCGAAGTCAAGTCAAAGTCTAATTTTGGCTAAGGAGAATTACCTACGGTTTCACTAACGATATCAAAGACGAAAACATGCAACGAGCTAAAGTAATACTATCATAAAAGCAAATAAGATTTTTTTTATCTTATTATTATATCCCGACAAAAAAAAAGTCTTATTATTATTATTATCCTCATCCTTATCATCATTGTTTTTTAATTTATTATTTATTATTAATTTTCTTTTCTCCTTTAAATTTGACAATGATATGTTGGCTCATCTTTAAACAGTGATAATTACTAGTATTCCTTCTTCTTTTTTTTCTGTGTAAACTCAACAAGATTGACGGATACCAGATATTTTACTCGAAAAGTAATGGGAAGTGGGCTGATGGGTGAGCAAGGCCGAATTATGTAAGTGTAACATACTTAATCCATTCTTTTAATGTGGTACTTTATATTTTTGATCTTTTCTCTAACTTTAATTGTATGACTTGGAAAAGATGTCAGAGATGGGCACGAAGACGATTTCGGGCTCGACACCAGGAGAAAGTATTCGGTGGTTGCTGGGGGGCGTTTGGCAAGTTGCCAAATAGTGAAAATTTTTGTTCTTTTATTTTCGAAATTAATTTGAGAATAGAAATTCGTTGTTAAATTTTTTGTGCCCGGGCACAAACTTGCAAAAAATTGTTTCCAGAATCAGTTTTGGAACAGAATTAAGAAGCAAAAAAAAAAGTAGCTTCTTGATTCTGGAACAATTTTTCCATTTCTGATTCTTCTTGATTTTCTTTTTCCTTTTTGGTTTGTTCTTCTTCTTCTTCTCGGTCTGTCACCGGCCAGGGCCGGCGAGAGAGGCTCGCGGCCGCGAGGCTTGACCTCGCCGTCACCGAGGGTGGCGACGGCAAGGTCAGCCTCGCCAGATCTGGGCGAGGTCGAGCCTCGCTTGGCCATGGCGAGGCCGGCGGCGAGGGCCGCGATGCCCTCGCCAACCCTGGCCTGTGGCCGGTTGTCGGCGCCAACGACCAGCCATGGCCAAGGAAGGGAAGGAAAAAAAAGAAAAAAAAGAAAAGAAATATTAAAAAATTCAAAATATTATTAATAAAAAGAAATTTTGTGTAGTTATCAAACACATTTATGTCCTTTTTCTATTCTAAGAATAGAAATTTTGGGTAGTTATCAAACGTATTCAAATGCTTAGAAATTATTTCTGGGCACAGAATAAAAAAGAATCATTTATGAGCAAAATCAGTTTCTGAACACAGAATTGTTGCCATGCGCACCCTAAGTGCCACGTCATAGACTGACGTGGCATTTTTTTTGGCAAAATCCAATCATAAATTGACACGTGGTAGTGACGTGGATAAATGTAAAAAAAATAAAAATCTGTCTAGATTTTTTTCTCTCTCTTCCTCTCCTCCTCCATTCACGGCGAGCTCTCTCCTCCATCCACAATGGCGCGCTCGGTCCCCCACCGCCGAATCCATCTAGGGCGTTCGAACTCGTCGTCGTCCTCGTCGAAAAGCATGATGCTGTTTTGCTGGTCTTCAATTTGCTTGCGGCCAAGGCTCCGTAGTCGGCGTCAATAGACGAGCGTCGGCGATTTCCAGATCTGTGGAGAGTAAACCAACCTTGGTTCACGGCCAAGACTTCCCACTGCATGAAGCGGCCTTCGTCCGCGAAGAGTAAAGCAGCCTTCGCTTGCGGCCAAGGCTCCGTTGTCGGCGTCAATAGACGAGCGTCGGCGATTTCCAGATCTGTGGAGAGTAAACCAACCTTGGTTCACGGCCAAGATTTCAGATCTAGATGACGCTGACGACGGAAGCTTGGTCGGGAGCCTTTCTCGTCCATGGCCTTAAAAAGCAAAAAGAAAAACAATAGAGGCAGCTCGCCAGTGGTCCATCGCTGCCGGAGACTGGATGCTCAAAAAGCATAAATAAATAAAAAAGCAGAGGCAGGTCGTCGGAGGTCCACGGCTGCCGGCGATGTGTGTGTACGCACGGTTGTGGCTGAAGGAGAGCTCGCCGTCAATGAAGGAGGAGAGGAAGAGAGAGAAAAATCTGGACATATTTTTAATTTTTTTACATTTGTCCATGTCATTGCCACGTGTTAATTTATGATTGGGTTTCAAAAAAATAATGCATGCCACGTCAGCCTATGACGTGGCACTTAGCAACCACCGAATACTTTCTTCGACACCAGAGACCGAGGGCGAGGCATCATCGGTTGAATTCTTATGTCGAATTCTTATGCTGATTTGATCTAGGTTGATCATCAAGGAGGTCGGACCACCTTTACGTGTTAATATGATCTTTAGCTTCTTCTTTTCTTATCATTGAGGAGGTTGGACCCCTATGTGATGTATTGCTACATTTTGGATGTAATGTTTAATTTTGCATGTGTTAGATAGCTACAATAATAGAATTAAAAATATGTAGATTTGCAAATGGAACCTATAATAAAAAAAGTCAAAATCTGAAAGGACTTTTGGCAACGCACTTCATAGCATATTCACTCTTTTAGCCTCGGAAAAATGACATGCAAATCAATACGATATTAACAACGAAATTTTTGTGGCGAAAGCTGCAAATATACTCACATGGACTTTTAGCCACCAGATATTTCGTGACCATAACCATGGCAAAAAAACATATGGACTTTTAGCTACGAAATGTTTTATCGAGACGAATTTTTAGCTACGAAAATTTCGTTGGCAAAAATGATTTTGCTCACTACTAAATTTGACACTTGGGCCACGAACTTTTTCGTGTCCTTGTATCGTTAGCCATGGTGATCGATCCTCCCTCCCCTTTCCCTTCCTGCACTGGTATGTAAGATTGCTTCAAATGTTATCAAGAGATGGAGTGGGTACTTGAATAGAAGAAAGATGAACTCAATTCTTTGACCAGGCCATCAAGTTTGTAAATGGTTTTTGATCCGCAGGGTTCATTTAGAATTTAGCTGTTGATTTCGCATATTCAAAAACCTCGGTTCTTTTTATTGGAAGATAAAAAGCTTCTTATTTTGAAAATTGACCTGATCATGTGTTAAAAGGATATTATCTAACCAATTCAGGTATTTATACAAATTTCATTATAGAATATTTTTTTGGCTAGGCGAGGCCAACATTATATCTACTAAGCAATTCTGTACCTAGTGTTGAAAGTTTAAAATTTTCGTCGACCACGAAAATATTTTCACAATTAATTCTCCTAAACAGTGCCGATGGACAAAAATGGAGAAAATATTTTCGCACAGCTAATTTCTCGTAAAACAGACCCTCAGTTGCCTCTTTAGTATGCAAATTGGAATAGGGAATACGTACTCAACATCAACAACTCCGCCTAAAAAGTGGTGAATCAACATAAAAATTTAGGGACCCCAAGATTTATAGGTCTGAAACCAGAACTTTCATAGGGCAGGCTACAAGTGGAATATTTTCTTGAGTCTCAACTCTCAATGCCGCTTGGATAAAAGCATGTTTCCACAGCACTCTTACAAAATTCCATGAGAAAATCTTTGCTTTAACTAAATCTTAAGAGATTGTTACTTTTCACTTAGAGGATGAAAGAGCGAATAGACCCTGTAGAGGCTCCCATAAAAGTTCCATACTTGCTGCGAACTACTCGGTTTAAGCCATAACCGTAGCTTATTTGACAATTCAGTTGCTATCGCATCACAGGATGCGAATGCAAATATGGCCGGAGTAGTGCTACAGTTAATACAAGCCAGATCAAAGCAAAGGATGAAAAAGATTTCCGGAGATCAAGAAATAACTAGAGGATTCGCACTTAGTAGCCTAGTTTGCTTTCAATTGGAATTGAAGAATTGCAAATCTGGATTTGATGTGTTCAGAGTTGGGATCCCAGAACAATAAAATCAAATTAATCCACGGATGCTGCCATTCAGAGATTCTGCACACTCAACCAATTTCTGCTACATTTTGGGATGTTTGTCCTCCACCGTTGTTAGTTTAGACGATGAACAGAATAGACCCAGAGATACCTTCAGGACTTCCAAACTCTTATAATCCTGGAAATTCCCATGGAAATCCACCACCTTGCCTTGAGAAACCACCCAGAGCTCGTCCGCGCTTCCATATATTATATGCTCATCGTCACTAACCTGCAAATCAAGGCTAAAAAAGGGCTATTAGCTGCGAAATGATCCATCCTAGAAACAAGACCAGACCTTGAATGAGCATCTCAACCGCATCCAAATCCTACAGTTGGGGATAGGGGACAAGGCAGAATCATATCTATCCTTGGACAAGAAACTAACGATTTCCAAAGACAACACTTGAGTAGTCACTGGTCATTCAAGCAAAACTTGAAGTAAACATTTATAAACAAGAAAAAGGTCCACATTAATTATGTGTAAAGCCCAATACTGCCTATAAGCATAGACATAGGAACTACTTGGTATTATAGATTACTGTAATACAAAAACACTGATCAGGCCAGCATAACTGTTATATCCCCAACATTTTGCAAGTTGCGAAACATTAGATTGGTCTCTGTTCCATTGTAAGTTATATGTATGATGACAGAGGCTCCCTGTAGCTGTGATCACTGATTGGTTCTACTGTATTTTCAATGTAAAGACCAGATTCTGATGAGTTCAATCGGTACAAGAACAATAACAAGCTAACTGAAAAGGTAATATAAGTCATAAGGTGGAGAGAAATGAGTGAACTTACCAGATGATTGGATGGCTTATCAAGCAAAACTATGTGAGGTTTCTTGAAAGTTATTGTAACAGTCTGAATTTTCGATCCTTTTCCCGGGACTTAAGAAATGAATGTTTTGGCCAATGCATTTATAGTGAGATCTCACCCGAGACCCGCGCATTCTCGGGATGCTAACCTTAGGGGTAGGGCTATTACGGGATTGACTTCGCACGACCAAAGAACTCGACCTGAGTTCGATCTTCGACCATATGGATTGACGAGGGAATGTTTTGAGCCAACCGAGACCGGTCTACTTGATTGATCGTGTTCGAAGGGAACTAGTGACAGACCCCCGCAATTATATGACAACCGAGGTCGTCCTGGGTAGAGTGAACTTAAACGTGATTTGACTTAGTGTCGGTCACAGGTCGAGCGCGCGTAATCCCAATGAGCCACCCGTTAGCCGGAGATAAGCTAAAGTCGCGATTGTTCGATCTTAGTCATTTCTTGGAATTCGGGCCGGGAATCGAGAATTTTGAAAGTGACAATTTTGAGCGGCCGATGACGTTTTGGCTTGGCCAACCTTGGGGCTACCCATTTCTGCAAAAAAATGGATTTCGGTTCGGGGCCAGAAAAATTATGGTTTTGCCTCTGTGGACACCGATGTTGGATTTTGAGGTCGTTTGAGGTTATTTTTCGAGGCTAGTGTCATTTTGGGTGGCCACGCGCATTTAGAGTTGTTTCGGTCAAAAATTGGAATTTTGGCTCGGAAGTGAAAAATAAAAATATTTTATTCCCAGGACTTTGCAGTCGATTTTCGAGGGCTTAAGAAGCTATTTTCACGATTCCGACGCCATATTATGCTGGCCACACCCATATGGAACCCAGTATGTCGAAAATTGGAATTTCGCCCGGACCGGAAAATTACCATTTTGCCCCTGGACCCGGATTGGGAATTCCGAATTTTGGACAATTTTGGGCAATAATTGAGGACTAAAATAAGTGAAAAAGAAATTGAAATTATTGATTTACCACATTGCCCTTGAATTATTGGATAAGGATTAATGTGGGCCAAGTGTTCAAGGGCATTTTGGGCATTTTTGGAAATGTTGGTCCAACTAGTCAAACCTCTCTCTCTCCTCCCATTCTTGTTCCCCAAGCCGGTCACTCCCCCCCCCCTCACGATCAGTTTCTCTCTCTCTATCTCTCTCTTCATCTTCTTTTCCTTCCATCAGCGCTGCTGCTGCTGTTCCGCCGTTTCAGCCACCGTTCCAGCCCCGTTCTGTCTCACTTTTTAGGTAAGTGACCTCCCCAAATGTCACCTAGGACCTCGGGTATTGTTAAGCTTGTTTAGGGCTCGGTTTAGGGTGAGTTTAGTGGCTGGTTTGCTCGGTGGTGTGTGTTGGCTGATTTCCAGTTAGGTTGCTGCTGCGTCGCTGGTTTTTGTTATTTTTACTGTGACTTATGTGGCCCGAATTTGAGGAAGGTTTCTTCATGAAAGTTGTTCCCAACATCTTGAAGTATAACATATTTTAATTTGGGAATTTTTGGAAATCATTTGATGCCATTCGGAAGTCTATCTTTGGACCGAAATAAAACTGCCCGATTTACTGTTCACCCGACCTTCTGGTCTGTTCGAATTTTTATAAATTTTTCCAGGCCTATTTTCAAAATACTTCCTCACAAAAATTGTTGGGGACATTTGTGGCTATAACATATAAAAATTTCAAGATTTTCCAAAATGATTTGGGTACCGAATGAGTTGTATTTTGATGGCCTGAGGGGCTGTCTGAGCGAACCGGATTTCATCTGAATTTGAATGTTAAAACGAGGTATTTACGGTTAGAACTGGGTTTCGAGTTCTTCACAGAAAATGTTCATAAAGATGTTTTGTACAACATATCCAAATTTCAGAATTTTTGAAATTGATTTACTATTTATTTCAAATGGATTTCTGTCACTGTGTAACTGCCCAGTTTGGACCCGATTTTGTTCACTCTCGGTTTTTATCTCTCTCGGGCTGATTAGGCGATGAAATTTTGAGGTTTAGGGAGCTTGGATTAGGGCTGTGATGTTGGGGTTTGATCGGAATTAATTTGTGCGATTAATTAATGGGATTGTGCCTTGAATGGAAATTTGTGCGTGGTTGTGTGATTGTGCTTGTTGGTTGGCTTGGAAATCGTTGTGGGCTGATTTGGTTTGTGCATTGGGCTGAATGTGGTGTGGTGGCGTGCCGTGTTTGTGTAGCCGTGAAGTGTGGTGATATGGTGATGTGAATGTGCATTGAATTCGCGTGCCAAGAGCATGTGGTTAAGTGGTGCGTGTTCGTGTGACGAGAAAGCGAAATTATGGAATGTGTGTGAAGTGTGTATGTTTGGCAGGTGTGTTTGTGTGGTGGCGTGGTACGTGTGGAGAGTGTGGAATGAAGGTTTGGAAATGTGGGATTGGTTGGAAAGGATCCGTCCCGAGGCGTGTTCGCTTTACGCGGACGATGCCGTCCCGACGAGGTGACGATGCCCGGCCCGACGAGGTGTCGATGCCTGACGTGGTCAGAAGACCGTTGGCCTGATGCGTTTTACGCGGGCACGGTAGAAGGAAAGTGTGTGTAGGATTCCGTCTTGAGGCGTGTTCGTTTACGAGGTGACGATGCCCGGCCCGACGGGGTGACGATGCCCGGCCCGACGGGGTGACGATGCCTGACGAGGTCAGAAGACCGTTGGCCTGATGCGTTTTACGCGGGCGCGGTAGTGGTGGAAGAGTTGAGAATGAGCGGGAATTGGCTTGAGGTGCGAGGATTGAGAAAGTGACGCATGGTGTGAGTTAGTGTGCGAGTGTGTTTGTATCGCGTGATGTGATGCTTAATTATGGGGTAGAAACTGCTAGGCACGGTATGGGACGTGCCCAAGTTGTTTCTGTCTTATAATTAAGGCACGCACGCGTCTGTGATTCCTTGCTGTGATGTGTTGGCTGTGTTATTATCTAACGTGCAGGAACGTGCGTGATGGATTCCAGGTAGGGTCGCATGTGATTGTTAGTTTGGCCGATCGTTGTGTGTTATGTGTGTTTTCGTGCGGCGGTACGTGAGTGCCTACGTGGGGTTTGGGGTTGTACACTTATTGAGATTCGTCTCACAGTTGTATAACCGCCACTTTCAGACCCCCGGCCCTAAACCCGGGAAGTGCGCCTCTTCTTTTTGGAAGTCCGGGGAGCTGCTTTTGGTGCCCAGTGGAACTGCAGATGAGTTTCCGGAGGCTCAAGCCCGAAGAATCAGGAACAGAGTGGAAGACGGTGACTAGTAGCTTCCCTAGGGTAGTTTCTAGGAGGTGTGTAAAATAGATCGACCTATAGTGAAGTTAGGTTAACCAAGCCACCCGATCCTTTTTGTTATGTCGGTGGCTGCGAATGCTAGTTTGCTATATCTGTTTGTAATATAATGTTTGTATATTTGGTGCTGTATGAAGATGTTGCTGTTTGATCGTTATGGTGTTCTACCCTATTGTCGTCATCTTTCTGTCCGGGGTTTTTATATCCGCTTCCGCATGTGGCTCTGATGTTTGGGTTGGGTCGGCGACGTTCCTGGGACGTCGCAACTATTCGACCGGAGCAGGGGATGTCGCGAGCCCGATGGGGTTCGGGGCGTGACAGTTATCTTGGCAAATGCAACTCTGCTTTTCTGACCACCTATTTATATGTTCAAAGCACCATGTTATAGTGGAATAACATCCAAAAAGCCTCGGAGAAGTTACATAGTGAACCACAATTCAGATTACAAATTAACTAACCTCTAATAGAGCTTCACAATGTCTAAGAAAATTGCTTCAACAAAAAATTTACATATGCAACAGTAGCAGAGAGCGAGGAGAAGTACCAGACAAGGTACACATTGGTTGAAGCGCAAGATTTCCTACTGCACCAAAGGAACCCAAGTGAGCTTGAAGCTTTGGTTCCAGAATTCCCTGCAGGAAGAATGCCACATAAGAATGTATTTTCAGATAAAATGACCTAATGCATGACGAAATGATATTTCACGTGGAGTAAACGCAAATAAATTTTCCCCAGAGGACACTGCTGACAATGTGAACACAGAGGCGGCAGCACATCGTTACAGCCTCAAGCAAACACAGAGGCAGGCAGCATATCAGCAACCATCATCTATTTGTCCTTTTCGCTTTCCTCTGTAGCTAAGCCTCATCTTCTGTTTTGTAAGGTAATGTGATCCCAGTGAACCACTCTTTCCTGATGACAAGAACTAAACTCATCTGATTCTTCGAGGACAGAAGTATCTTCTTATAATCCTGGAAATTCCCATGGAAAGGTGCCACCTTGCCTTGAGAAACCACCCAGAGCTCATCTAGATATTAGATGCTCATTGTGACTAACCTGCAAATCAAGGCAAAAAGAAGGCCATCAGCTGTGAAAATGATCCATCCTCGGTCAAATGTAAGTATTTTGGCAAGAAAATCAATCTCACCATCAGAATTCCTCCTCGGAACAAGACCATACCTTGAATGAGCGCCTCAACTGCATTCAAAGCCTACAGTTGGGGATAGTAAAAAACGCAGAATCTGACTCATTTATCCTTAGACAAGAAGCTCACAATTTACAAAGATAACACGTTTGTAGTCATTGGTCATCAAAGCAGAACTTAAAGTCCACTTTTATAAACAAAGAAAGGTCCACATTAATTATGTGCAAAGCCCAATACTGCCTATACGCTCAGATATCTTAACTACTACATTGTAATACAAAAACACTGATGATCAGGCTGGCATAACTGTTCCATTCCATTATAAGTTAGATGTATGATGACAGCAGCTCCTTGCAGTTGTGATTACTGATTAGTTCTACTGTATTTGCAATGTAAAGACCAGATTCCGATGAGCTCAATTAGTACAAGAACAATAACAAGCTAATTGAAAAAGTAATCAAAGTCATAAGGTGGAGAAAAATGAGTAAAACTTACTAGATGATTAGATGGCTCATCAAGCAAAACTATGTGCTGTTTCTTGAAAGTTATCTTGGCAAAATTCAACTCTGCTTTTCTGACCACCTATTTATATGGTAAAAGAACCATGTTATATGCGCACTAACATTCCAAAAGCCTCGAAGAAAGTACACAATGAACCACTATTCAAATGACAAATTAACAAACCGCTAATAGAGCTTCATGATGTCATACTAAAATTGCTTTAACAAAAAATTTACATATGCAACAGTAGCAGAGAGGGAGGAGATGTACCAGACAAAATATACATTGGTTGAAGCGCAACATTTCCAGCTACACCTAAGGAACCCAAGTGAAGGTATACATTTGTTCCAGAAGTCTCTGAAGGAAGAATGCCACATATGAAGGTATTTTAAGGTAAAATGACATAATGCATGACAAAATCGTATTCCGCGTTGGAGTAAACACAAACAACCGATACTTTAAAGAACTAAATAGATTTGCCCCAGAGGTCACTGCTGATAACGCAAACACAGAGGCAAGCAGCCTATCGTTGCAATCTCAACCAAACAAGCCTAAGTATGTTGGCTAATAGGAACCTACTTGAATTAGGAAACATTTCTCTTTATGCTCAAACTCGAGACATATTTTGAGCGAGAGGAATAGTTAAAGAGAGAGAAAGAAAAGTCAAGAAAACTGGAAAAGAGAAGTGAACCGCACACTAGACAAAGGGTTCGGTTCAAGTTCGCTGGGGACATCTGAACACACTGGATTAATGTCGTATGTGAAGCGCTTGATAAGAATACAAAGACTTAATTCATCTAATTGAAGAAATTTCTCTAGGTTAAGCTGTAATTTCAATTCCATTCGGGTTTTAGGTTGCTAGGTTGATCCTAGAGGTTGTTGAGCTATGAAATCACGTTGTAATGAAACTTTGGTGTGTCGCGAAACTGTGGGATTTTATGGAAGTCATCTTGGGATTACAGTACGGTCGAGGTGAAATTTTGAAGTTTATTGTGCTGATTTTCGCCCGTTTACGGACCTCTTTTGGGTCAAAGGCGAGTTCTCCTTTTAAGCATGTCAAGTTAGTTTTCCAATGACTTCGGACCCAGTTGAAACAGGCGTCGGTAGAGTTTATTTTTTAAATTTTGCACGTGAGTTGCCATAGTACAATAAACAGCAGTAGTTGTTCTACTTTGGACAAGCTTTTCATTGGCACATCAGAGTTGTTTTGTTACCGAATAAGCTTAGTTTAGTTGAGTCTTACTTAAGGTACTTATCTACTTGACTTTGATATCCATTTCTCGCTTAATTGATTGGATTTCATGTATCTTCGTTTGAGGTAGCTTTCATCGTTTGGTTTGCCTTTTCAAGTGAATGATGCTTGTATCGTCTATGGTTTTTGAAATCATGTCTTGAAAATAACATAGATTATATGTTATAAGCTATGAAAGATGTATCACACAATGTTTAGAGCATATTTGTTGCACGAAGCTAGATCGGACATTGACTATCCTTTTATTAGTTGAAATGACATAGCAAAGTATCTCTTGAAATAGTTTAGGAGTTGATTATTTGTGAAATAGTTAGAGAAATGCTACGTGAAATGAATCCTTCTTGATGGAGAAATCTTGAAAGGATACATATATTGATTTGTAAAACTTATTTATGAAATGAATTCTGACTGGTTGGAGGATTGTGGTGATGGTTTTATGCTCTTGTAGCTATGATTTGAGCCCACTAAAGGGTTGCAAGTATACATACTGTTCTCAAGACGTCCTATATGGATCGAGACACGGGCTGATAATAAGGTAGAGACCTACATTGAAAGGGAATCTAGGTAGGCCTTATCAAGGAGAGTTAAGCGTGGCCATAATTTGATATTGAGCATTAGATTGATCAATAAATTCCATTGATGTGTGCTTTGGTATCATTGATTGAATGAGTATTTCTAGTACGTATAAAACTTTTGGTGAAGTGAGATAACTCATTTTTTATCTTGTACATATATTATTTACTGAATTTGGATAAATGTGTTCTGCTCAGAATCATTCATCCCAATTGCTCATACCATATAAGAAGAATAAAAAAAAAAGTATGGAAATAAATTCACAAATAAAAGAAATAAAGAAGTGGTCTGTCATACATGCGATGGAAAGTGTCATACTAGTCAAATTGCAAATTCAAAGGAAGATAAATCAATTGGAAACAGGCAAAGATATTAATCATCAAGTACTAAGTTGATTCCACAAACTGAGTCGTCGTCATAAAAAGCAGAGGAATAATATGAGTATGAATTAAATGGAAGATGAAGGAATTCAAGAACATAATTATAGAGATAATTGTACATGTGGATTAGGTACTCAAAGTATAAGTGTAATAACTGTAGAGGATGATTTTATTTTAAATATAGTGGATAAAATAAGTGAGCCGATAATTTAGGAAGAATATTTTTAAAAAGAAAATTAAGAGATTGCTCCAAAAATTCAGAAAAACCGTACATTTTGCAAGAAATTTTGACAATGACAAAAGAAGAATATAGGCACCGATTGGCTATTCAAGATCTCCACAAAGCGATAAATATTTTTAAAAAAGATGTAAAAGAAATCATTAATAATCCAACATCGAGGATAGAAATGCTCTTTGCTCCCATATTCATCTTTTCTGCATATTGTGCTTCGCAAGGAGGTATACATTGACTCAACCTCTTGGTTTGTGGATTCTAAATATCCTAACCATGTGGGTCATCTATTCAAGGAGATTTATGGACTTAAGCAAGTACCTCGAGCATGCTTTCTTGCTTAGGTTTTCGCTTGGTGAACCTTTCATTCATAGCTGGGAAATTACTATAAAAGTCTTAAACTTATTGCATTTGTACCAATTCAGTCATAAACCTTTTAATTGTATCAATTGAGTCATACACCTTTTCACGTTTTGCCAATTGAGTCCATCTGGCCAATTTTAATCAGAAATTGTTAACGTGGATGCATCACGTAGGATGACCAACGCTAACATGGACAATTTTTTTATCACATGTCCTAAGATCAGATTCACAAGTCTACCTTGAAAGGAAAAGTCTGTATGGAATAATCTTTGATTCCTCCAATTCCACAAATGTTGACAAGTTACACCAAATACGAGTGGCCAATCATATTTTTTTACCAGGACTGTTACAGCAGTTAGGTTTGCTAATAACCACTTACGCTAATCAAGAGTAAAGAAATGACCCGTTAAATCCATAGACAAAATCTTTAGCCAAATAGCCTCTGCGTACTTACAATCCCGGAGTACGTGTAAGGTGGTCTCAGAGGATTGTGGACAAGAAGCACAATGGGGATCTATTGTGATTTTACGATGAAATCTTTAGTGATTAGTGAGTAGATGCTGGTGTGAAACCAGCTACAGGAAACTTCCGATCCTTTGCAGTCCATCCCATTTCCATACTAAGCTCTAGAGTTTATTCATAGGTAAATGTTGTTCTAGCGAGATTAATTCATAAGCTTCCTTAATAGAGAAATTCCCATTGCTATTACTACCCAAAGCAGCAAATCATTATCATCATAGTTTATAGGTGGAAGCGTGGACTGAAGTATCAGCAAAATTGACAGAGGCAGGATACCCACTAAACTGGTGAGGTTCCATTGATTATGACAAACAAAATCATGAACAACGCAGTCAAGATCCTGTATAAGAGCAGATGGCAAAATCCAATAGGTAAGGATCGATTCCATCAACCCAATTTATTAAGTCCAGAATTTAACTGTTCTCCCATTTGTAGAAGAATATTTTTCTCTATATTAAATCATACTGTACAGCATTACAATATTTCTTATATATAATACAGGGGATAACCCTAGTATCTCAATAAATCAGGAAAAAAACTGTAATAAAGGAAAAACAAAAAAATCCCTATTTTGTAGGAAATACAGCTCACGCCAACACTCCCCCTCAAGTGGGTGAGAAGATGTCTTCGATACCCATCTTGACGAGTGAGCTCTGAAACGCTCTACTTGACACAGCTTTGGTCAAAATGTCGGCCAATTGATCTTCAGATTTGACAAAAGGCAACTG